TATTCTTCAAACCAATAATTTTCCTCCAAAAGGGCCTCTCAAAATTGACGAGTGATTACTTTACACCCTCATATGGCCATCCAAACAAATTAGCAACATTAGTTCTTCTATGCTTGTACCTCTTACTAGCTATTCCGAATGTGAAAAATTCATAAACTCTCAACTAGTCATCAATAAGTGTTTCAAAGCGAAAAGAACTTAAAAATTCTAAAGTTAGTTTCTTATCGGAGAGAGCATCCATCTCCAATAATGTGGCTTAACCTATGTTAACTCTGTATTTCCCTAACCTCTTCTAATAATCCAGATCAATTCCAAAACCTTTATAGTAACATATCTATTCGATATTACTTTCCTATTCAATGAGCCTTATCAAATTAAGACTTTTGTTCATCATTCTCAAATTCAATGGTAGGTTAAATATGGTCTTCACCGAGCTGGGAATAATATCTTATTTGTTGGGATTTTATTTTTTGACGACCCTTCTTTGTTGGTATGACTATTTCCTTTCCTTTTCCTTCAAAAGTCGGTATTGTTATTCCTTGATTGAGGAAGAGTGGGTAAGACAATGGTTCTTTTGTGGGTTAGTAATAAGGAGGTTTTTTTTGGGAAGTGGAATGGAGTTATGGCTATTTTTTACTATGGATGAAACTAATATTTGAAGAAGATGAAGAACGAAGAAAGGTTAGTCATTTGTAGATGGAAATTTGGAAAAGATAAAGTCACACGGGTTAGAGTTAGGTATTTATATGGGTCGGGTTTTATGAAAGAAGTTGTGTGGATTTTGACTAGATAAGGAGTCACACACCCGTGCATGATTGGCCTACAAACCGTGCCTCTTTCCTTTCTGCTTGTGTCTTCTTTCTTCTTTCTCTTTATTGTAACCTCTCATATTCCATACGACTATATGGATTTTCTCTTACAAGCCATATGAAACCTTACAACTAGTGTCTCTTTTTTTTAAAAAAATTAAACTTTTTAGTCCGAGGCATAGGACGTGCTAAGATTGGGGTACAACTCTTACAAAACACTACTGCTTATGCCTCTTCTCTTTTGTAAAATTAGTGCAACACGACTCTTAGGTCACACGGGGCGTGCCTTTTCTAAAGGTCACCCCATATCTAAGCTTTCTGCTCGTGTTACATCTCTTCTTGTTTTGAGTTTCTAACTATAAAACACACTCGGACATGCTTTTTGATATACACAAACTATGTTCCTTCATTACGCCTATGTGTATCTTTCTTCTATTTTCTTAACACATTAAATATCACCTATGCCGCAAACATTCTTTAAATCAAGTCAACACATGGAGGATTTTAAAGAAAATTTAAACATTAACTTAACAACAAAATTTATAAAAATTTCATTCGGATTCGACTCATAAGAAGTAATCGTGTGATGTTGCTAAGAGCCTAAGTAAATACAACATTATTGTCATAAAGGACTACTCGCTATTTTAACTATAGTATGAACTAAGCATCTTGAAAAACTTTTAAGACTTTGGCTATAGCCTAAAGGCGTAAATGTATAATAGTTGTGGTAAGGGCCTAATTAATAGATTGAAGTAAGTTGCATCTTAGTAAGTGTTGAGAAGCTACCACCACCAACTTGAGGGTTTGAAGGGTTTTTATCATTCTTACTATTAAGTAGGCTAGCATTGTCAACATTGTCATTGTTACGGGTAGTTGAGCTAGTAGCAGGATTAATATTCTTCTTACTAGTCTTAGAAAGGGCCATTGTTCTTTCACAATCACTAACTCTCGGGTAACGTCACTAAAATATATAGGTGGTTCTTGAGAACCGATCAAATGACTGGTCAACGGACATGTTAGGATACTAAAAAACTAGTGTTGTGACTTATAGAAACAACAATAAACAAACTAAGATGATGTTTGGTAATCAAAAATAGAGTGATAGGAATGAGAATGAAAGTTTTATTTCCATATTGTACTTGTTTGGTTAAAAAGAATGAAGTGGGAATGGGAATGAAGAGTGAGAATGGGAATGAAAATTTACACACAATTTTAGTTAAGGAGAATACTTTAGATTTTATTAAACGGATAGAACTCTTTACATTTTATCTAGTGTATGAGTGAGAGAGTTTTGAAATAAAAATTTTAGGGGTTTTTATTAGAGGTTAGAAAGTTAGAACCTCCTCATAATAATGTGAGTTTAGTATTTATAGTGAATTAAAGAAGACTCTTGATTACTAGGATCGTTTCACGTCATCTATGTTTAGATCATAAAATTTTAGTCGAAGAAAATCGAGTTATTTTTAGCTAAATTGCTTTAATACTCTAGCAAATGTTAAAAGAAGTAATAATTGGGCTTTTTTTTTAGCGGACTATGGTCCGAATCCACCAAGCTAATTTTTCTAATGCATCACAATGTCATAGACACTAACCCTACCGAATATCCATGTCCATCATTGTGACCCAATATCTTGTTCCAAGCAAGGCTCATCCTTAGTCTAGTTCATTTTTCATGTAGTTTGGATCCATTTCAAAACTAAAAAATAATAATATGAATTAACATATAATAAAAATTAGTCGAGTTACTTACAATTTTATAAAAAACTCGAGTATATACAATCATTTTTCATCAAGAAAACATAAAGCTACTTTAGATCTAATACAAATTTCAATATTGTAAGCCATTTCTCTTAAACCCACACTCCAACGCTTGAACATGATGGGAATATGGAAAAAGGAGAGCTTTTCAAGGTTTTTATGATGGAGACAAGTGATTAATATAGTGGCAACTTAAAGATAACGTAGTTGAGAGAAATGGAAGAGCTCATGTAGATTTGTGATTTCTAGTTACTTATTTTTAGTCTTTTCTCTCTTTTTTCTATAGTTATTTTTATATTTATTTAAATGATTTCATTTCTTTACAATTACCATTCCCCTTCCCCCTACACACACATATATATAAGTTTAACCTCTACCATTCAAATTAACTCCGGTGTACTTTGAGAATAAAAAGTAGTGCAATTCTATCAATTCGGATGGAAAAATATAACACAAGAATTGATTGAAGAATGAATAAATTTACAAAGATATAATAGATATAACTTAAAATGTAGAAATATATTGGAGACCTAGCTAATTATATAAATATAGATTGAATTATTTAACTTGCATTTTAAATGAAACAAGTGTTGTTTGGTTTTTAAATATTTTATTTTTTCATGTATTTTTAAGTCAAAGCTAACAAGCACTAAAGTAAATCACTTTTTATTTTCAAAAGTTAAACGAGTACAGTATTAAAGTTCTCGCCAAACACTTATTTGATGCTTTTAATTGCTTTCCTTATAAAGCAAACCATGCAAAAACTAGAAAAACAAGAATGCTAAACGGGTTTGTTAAGTCACTTTAGGAATGAGTTTCAAGCATACCATTCACACTCAAATTGATATTTATCGAAATTATTTTTCTATAGTATTTCATGGAATTCAAACTGTAAATGACAACATGAGAATAAATCAACGTACCAATCAATTTAACATTAATATGCATATTTGTATATCATCAAAAAAAAATTTTACGTTCATAAGTTTTTTGAGAATGAAAAATAGTATTTCATTCATTAATACCAAAAGAAATACGGTTACATAACTATTTTTACATTATAATTATATAAACTATAACAACTCGTGTGAATGAAATCTTATTGTTTGTAAAGGAAATCGAATAAACAATAATAAAAACTAGCATGCCGAGTAGCAACTCGCTTGTTTCATCAATTTGGACAACAAATCAAACTTTTTAGGTCGTTGTAGGAAGTTATAGCTTGCATGCGCATAAATGAGTTGAAACCACCATGAATTAATTGGAAAACATATCGTACTATTAGATTCGACGGATGAAAAAAATCCATATCTATTAGCCATAGTCTTCCAACCAACTAAAAACAATCACAAAAATCTTTTTCAAAAAAAAAAAAAAAACACCAACAAGCAGGTAACAACCTCCGCTAAAAAGGAACCAAAGCTCTAACAGGAGGTAGACACAACCAAAATACCTATAAACACACACATATGCAGACACGAATCTATATGGACCTATAACTATAGACGCGATCTAATATAAAACAAACTAACATAGATCATATCTTCATTAAAACAAATTTAGAAATTTTATTTTGTAGACGTGTAAAAAAGACTCTATATATATATATATTCACAATTATTGGTTACAATAGAATGTACTCTTATAAATAATATGATTTTATGGCAGGTATCAATAGCATTACATGCATAAAAAAGGAAAGCGAAAATTTTCGCCAGACTCATTTACAGAAACAAATCATGAACAGATCAGTCTCCATTGGCAACCATGCCAATAAACCGAATCACAACAAGAAATTGAGGCCGCGAATTTGCTGTGCTTCTTTGGGAGCATACGAAATATGACAAATATTTTACGTTGCTTCAAATTCAAAAAAGAAGTTGAGTTGAGCCCACTTGGACGCATTTGCAGGGGCCTTCAAAAGCACTCTGGAAAATCTTTAGACAAAAGAAAAAGCCAAAAAATCACATAAATCTACTTAATTGCTACACAGATTGAATTAATTAAATAAATTATTGCCGTTGCACTTGGCTGTCCCAGTCCTTGCATTAACCCAAAAGTGGTGTTTAATCATCCAACCAATATGTACGACAACATTTGTTAACAAAGTAGAAATTCAAATCGCACGGAATTTCGGCCGTGGAAGAAAACAAAACCTCTCACTCGAAGCCCAAAAAAAAAAAGGGAAATCAACAAATTCCGCAATTTCTCAGCAACCAGTCAAGTAGCTGTATCTGACTGCTATGGGAGCGCTAGCACCGTAAACAAGAAAACCAAAAGTCCAAGAGTAGATGTTGACGTGTCAAGTAAAACACGCTCCCTTAAATAAATTAATTAAATAAGAAATTTCATTTTACTATATTTTTTTTTCAGTTTGGACCCTCACTGTAGAGCACCTCTTAGGGCGGGAACCCAAAATTTCACCCCAAAAAAATGCCCGTAAGTCTTCTGCCTTTTATTCTTCTAGGGTTTGTCTTTCAAAAAATTTCAAATATTTCACTTAGGGTTTTTGAATTTCGCTGGTTGCTGACTTAGCAGGAGCCGAAGATGAATCTGCGGAAAGGCTCAAAAGTATGGGCCGAAGACAAGAATTTGGCATGGGTTGCTGGTGAAGTAACGGATTGCATAGCCAAACAAGTGCAAATCCTTACTGTTACTGGAAAAAAGGTGAAATTTTGGTTTTTTATGGTGGTTTTGGTTGTTTATTGAGTTGATTTTGTCTTGTTTTTCAAGATTTTTTTTTGTTTTGTGGTGTAGGTTTTGACTTTGCCGGAGAAATTGTGTCCTAGAGATGCAGACGAAGAGGAGGAGCATGGAGGGGTTGATGATATGACTAAATTGACTTACTTGAATGAGCCTGGAGTGCTTTATAATCTCCAAAGAAGATATGCTCTTAATGATATTTATGTATGGACTTCACAATTCCAGTTTTAGTTTTGTTGACAAGTGTCATTTTTTGTGTTTAATTGATTTTTTTTTTAATCAAATATGGTAAATTGTAAGGCAAACTACGGTGAAAAGTTATTTTGAGTGAGCTTTGTTGTTAGTAGTGGCTTGTGATTGTTTGAATTTTAGTTATTTTAAGATAATGTGGTATAGAGGGTGCTTTTTGGTCAAGTACATTTAAAATTTGTTAAATCAAGGGATCTGAATTATGAGTTGGCATTTGACGTGTTGAGTTGACCGTTTTCGGTATGAGCAGCTATTATTAAGGTGCTGCTAGTAAATGATCCATTTGAGTGCTTTAAGTTTTTTTGTTAATTAGAATGTTTTTTTTTTTTTTTTTTTCAATTATGGAAAATTGTAATGGGAGTATATTTTTGAATTTTAGTGTGTTCTAAGTTAATGTGGCATGGGAGGTGCTTTTTTTTTTTTTTTTTGTTACGGTTATTAAAATTGGTTGAATTTGACGTGGAAAATCTGAGTTGGCATTTTTGTGCTGAATTGAGCATTTTTTGTTTGAGCTTGACTTATGTGGTTAGGTGTAAACAAGTGTCAAGAACTGCATATGTAAAATGCTTTGATTATTCTAGTCTAAATGGGAGGCTCGGTTAAGGTGCTCTGCTAGTAAGTACTTATTTGAGTTCTTTAAGTTAAAACAAAACAGGGAGTTAAATCAACAGAATGAATTAGTTCAATTCTTGAACTAATTTCTCGTTAGGCATGCGATGGTGCCCTTTTTGTATTGAAATCATGGTGTATAAATGGACAAAGTGAAGCATTTAAGTATTTTTTTTTGTCCCATTTAACGTCGTTCTTATGTTATAGACCATATGGATGAATAAGAGCATCTTTTCTTAGTCGAGTGTCCTTTACTCAGTCTATCGTTTAATACTGAAACACTATATCTGAAGTTATCCTACACTTTGTGATGGTATTTGTGTGACATTCTGCATTTTGTCTTTGATAGACGTACACGGGAAGCATTTTAATAGCTGTTAATCCATTCACTAAGCTTCCTCATCTGTACAATGTGCATATGATGGAGCAATATAAGGGAGCTCCATTTGGTGAGCTAAGTCCCCATGTTTTTGCTGTTGCAGATGTATCATACAGGTATGTTGTATTTAGGATGTTTCTTGAAATTTGAGTGCTGATTTGAGATATAATTCACTACCATATAAAGTTATTTAGTGACTTCTGTTGGGTTTAAACTCTAGAGCCATGATGGATGACGGTCGAAGCCAATCTATACTGGTAAGTGGAGAAAGTGGGGCTGGGAAAACTGAGACAACAAAATTGATTATGCAATATCTCACTTTTGTTGGTGGCCGAGCTGCTTGTGATGACAGAACAGTTGAGCAGCAAGTCCTCGAAGTAAGACTTACAATCCTTACCTCTATTATTTGCCCCATTTGCTGCTAGCCCCTCTCTTTAAAGAAGAGAGTGCATATACTCAGAGTAAAATAAAAAAAGTTAAGTCTATAATACTCCATCTATGGATGTTTCCCATATTCATCTATCTTCTGTTAATTTTTTCCCCTTTTCTGAAGAAACACTCTCTGGTTGTTGGCCCTTGTCTTTAACTTGCAATAGCGTGATTGGTGAAGTCTGTCTAGGTAATTTTTTATCTCCTTGTCTTTTGTTGAGGCTGATTCATCCTTTTCATAATTTAGTCAAATCCGCTCTTGGAGGCATTTGGCAATGCAAGGACTGTTAGAAATGACAACTCAAGGTGAGATGGAGTTTGTTTTCCAAATATACTCTCTTTTTACCAATGTGTAGCTCTAATTGCTCACCTGTATCTGCTACCAGTTGTTCCTTTTCTCCCATACTCAATACATAAATGCTCAATGCATCATACTTCAACTGATGTATATCAACTTGGCAGAAAATGTGATGTATTGTGTTTTTGCTTCTCACCCATGCCAAAGAACTTGGAAACAGAATTTTGAAAAAAAAAAAAAAATGAAAACAGGACATATGGAATGCTGTCATGGGGAGAAAGCTTTTGGATAATGAAAATAACTGAATCTTAGCTGACTACAACCGTGAGGGGAAAAATATTGAAGGAATGGAGATAGGGTGCATCAACTAAAGTCTTTTTCAGGAAGAGTTTTGATTATTTTCCACTATTGGTTTTTGATGATTAATCATGTTTTATATGAATGGATTTTTGAGTGCTATATTTTATATTTATCCATATACACCTTGTTAATTTAGCAATCCCAATTTTCCACTGAATACGTTTCCAGCTGTCTTAAATTCTCATTCTTTGTCTCAACAGTCGTTTTGGCAAGTTCGTCGAGATCCAGTTTGATGCAACTGGCAGAATATCTGGTGCTGCAATTAGAACTTATCTTCTGGAACGATCTCGTGTAGTTCAAATAACAGATCCTGAAAGGAATTATCACTGTTTTTATCAATTGTGTGCATCTGGGAGGGTACTCTCTCTTGCTCTCCTATCCTGTATTTTCTGTTTAGTCTGTGTTGTGAAGTTCATACTGGCTGAGGCTTTGCAAGTTGTGTGTTTGCAACATGGTTTTTGTATTATCTAATAGAATGTTGAAGCTTATGGATATGTCTAGGATGCAGAGAAGTACAAATTGGATAATCCACGTCACTTTCACTACCTAAATCAAAGTAGGACATATGAATTAGAGGGGGTGAGCAATGCAGAGGAATACATAAAGACAAGGAGGGCAATGGATATTGTTGGTATAAGCGATGAAGATCAGGTTTAAGCACCATCAAATAGCTCAGTTCTTGATATTTGTTTCATACTTCTTCTTGGCTTATTTTGTTGGGATGCTATCATACTCATTTTTCGGTTGCCAATGTTATTATTAGGAAGCTATATTTCGCATCCTGGCTGCAATTTTGCATCTTGGGAATATGGAATTTTCTCCTGGCAAGGAACATGATTCTTCCACTGTAAAGGATGAAAAATCTAGCTTTCACATGCAAATGGCCGCTGATCTTTTTATGTAGGTGATTGCTTTAATTGCTTGGGTAAACCCTTTTGTTTGAGCAATCTTTGACATGCCATCAGCATTCATTTAGTTCCCTTATTTGTGTTTTAGTTTGGAAATGAGCAAGCTAAATTTCTCATATTGTGTTTCTATGTATTCGGAAGTGAAAGTGCAAGATAAAATTTTGCCGCTATGGTGGTACAGAGGAAAAAACTGAACTTTTAAAATGGAGCATATTCAGAAAATATTGGAACTGTTCCTTTTATGGATTTTGTTTCATTTATCTTTAGTATTTATTCTATGGAGCTTTTGTTAGGTAATTGCTTTAATGGGGTTTGGAATATTAAAAATATATCAACTTAGTTGGAATAATCTATGGTGGATGAGTACAAGTTGTCTAGGCTGAGTTTAGCGGTGGACATTCCTGCCTGTAATGATTTTTCATAGCTCATTGGCTTTTACTTTAAGCTACTAAATTACTTTTTAAAATCAGGTGTGATGCAAACCTCTTGTTGGCAACATTGTGTACTCGTACTATTCAAACCCGTGAAGGAAATATCATAAAAGCTCTTGACTGTAATGCTGCTGTTGCTAGTCGGGATGTCCTGGCAAAGACTGTTTATGCAAGACTGTTTGATTGGTATGCTTGTTGCCATTGGGCATGAGAATAATTTATTTATATAATTCCATAGTTGTCACAAGCTAAACTTGTTTGGTTTTGATGTTTCTTTAGGCTTGTTGAGAAGATTAATAGGTCCGTTGGGCAAGATCCAACTTCCCAGATTCAAATTGGAGTATTAGACATTTATGGCTTTGAATGCTTCAAAAATAATAGGTAATATCTCTTAAATAGATTATCCTGTTTCAATTGTATATTTCAGGCCATTGCTATGTCTTACGGTATAATCTTACTGGAAAATTATTTTTGAGCTTCTCATGTTGCCTTGAACTTGCTTGGTATTTGGAAGTTATTTATATTCATTTTCACACTTAGTCAACTGTTTTAAAGAATGTGTTATAGAATGCTGTGTCTCTCTATTGTATGTGATTAGCTTTGTATTGTGTATCACCTTTTTTGGCGGTTACCTTGTCAGTTTGTCACTTTGAAAGATTTTTCTTATGTTGTTTTAACATGCTTGTCCTTTCTAATACCTTTTTGCTTTTTGCATGTCTATTGCAATATTTCTGGCCTTGAGTCATGTCTTTTTTTCTCTGCACTAATTTGACTCTATCATTGCCTTTTATAATTTTCAGCTACAATACGTTTGTTTTTACCTTATGTCTACTCAGTGATTAATGTTTTCTGTTCTGCAGTTTTGAGCAGTTTTGCATTAACTTTGCAAATGAAAAACTACAGCAACATTTTAATGAGGTGTGCAATGTTGTCATTTGTGATGTGATGACATTTACTAAATTTATGCTTTGTCTTATTTCCTTCTTCCATTTGTTTCAGCATGTGTTCAAGATGGAGCAGGAGGAATATAGAAAAGAAGAAATTAATTGGAGCTACATTGAGTTTATTGACAATCAAGATGTTTTGGATTTAATTGAAAAGGTTTTTCATCTGTTTCCCCTCTCAAAAAATTGGTGTAGTTTGGCTAATCTGTTATGGACTGAATTCATATTCAATTTTCTGCTGATTTCTCATTCCACTCTTTGCTGATAATAATACTTTGGATGAATAACCAGATTTAGTTCATGTTTCTCTTTGATATGATGCATTTAATGATGCTTGATTCCATGCTTGGTATTGAAGATGCTACAAGGACAAAGCATGGTTTAGTAGTGTGTGTTAGATGTTCTACCATTTTTGTGATTTAGCTAGATAATTACTATAGCTTGCCCCAGAGATATTAGGATTGTGGGAAAGGATTTCTGTCAGAAATAGATTTTATGTACTGCAATAAATTTTAGCATGTTTAATTATGCTTTTTGATGGATTTAGATTAGCTTATATGTACTCAAAAGGGATGATATTGGCCTTTAAATTTATATTGTTTTGACTTGTAATAACCGAGCATATCCTTGTAGGAATCTATCCCCTCCTTTATTTTTCTATCTTTCTCTCCTGAAGAAAAAAGGAAATTGAATGTTTGCTGGAGAAAATGTTCATGTTTATGGTTCTAGTTTTCTTTTCTTTGCTCTCTGTTTCTAAATATGCCACTTATTGATTTCTGTTAGTCATAGACTTATGTTATCATATACTCGTTTGCAGAAACCTATTGGAATAATTGCTCTTTTGGATGAAGCTTGGTACTGTTTGAGTTTTTCGCTATAAATTGGTGCGTTTTCTATATGAAATTGCTTGAGTGCAGTTTGTCCTTATCCTGATTTCATTTTTCTGCAGCATGTTCCCAAAATCAACCCACGAAACTTTTTCAACCAAGCTATTTCAGAATTTCAGGGCCCACCCAAGGTTGGAAAAAGCAAAATTTTCAGAAACGGATTTTACTGTTTCACATTATGCTGGCAAGGCACGTTATTTCATCACCATATTACTTTAAATAGAACTTGCAAAGTGAAAAATTTTACAAAGAACTGTATTTTTCTGCAGGTCACTTATCAAACAGACACCTTTTTAGACAAAAATCGTGATTATGTTGTTTTAGAACATTGCAATCTCTTGTCTTCTTCGAAATGCCACTTTGTTGCTGGTCTTTTCCCTTCATCTCCTGAGGAATCTTCAAGATCATCATACAAGTTTTCATCTGTGGCCTCAAGATTTAAGGTAGAGAACTTTTATCTTTCTCCCATCATCATTGTAGTATTATACAGTGTGGTTTAGTTGTTTTCAGAACAGAGAATGATAAGGATCAGTGAAGGAAGAAACAACTCTCATACTGCTTTGAGTATTGACTTTATATTAAGATGCTTTAAGCAAATTAATTGTCATAATTGTGATGATATTAACCCTTGGGTTGAGTGAACCATATGGCTTCATGGATGTTTCTATAGAATAAGGCATTCTCTCTTTCTACGATGAAAAAAGTGTTTCCAGATTATGCAATAGTATCAAAATTTTTGTTGGTATGAATTTCTTATGCATGCTTATCACTTCCCCATTTCTCAATAGTTTTGGAGTGGGAATGATGTTGAGTTTTTTTTTTTTTTTAGTTTTGTTTTTTGTCGCTGTTGTTTTTCTTTTTTTTTTCCCATTAGGTTTCAGTTTGCTGCATGGATAATTGATTTACTGTTTATAACTTGTTAATGTTGACGCTGTAAGTTATTTTATTTTTTGATTTTCAGCAACAACTTCAGGCACTTATGGAAACCCTTAACTCAACAGAGCCTCATTATATACGTTGTGTGAAGCCAAACTCTATGAACCGGCCTCAGAAATTTGAGAATCTGAGCATATTACATCAACTTCGCTGTGGGGTTAGTATACCATAATTGTATTTATGTTGCTTGTGTAACGTCATTTCTTTTGCTTACTTGAGTTACTGCAATTGTATATGATCATTATCCATGATTTTTAGGAGAGAAGAGGCGTAAAATTTTTTGTTATTGTTTAATCTTTGTTTAAATGGATGGCCTGTGTGCATTAGATTTTAATTGTACTTATTGTTAGATTTTTCTAGTTTGTTAATTTTTCCTCATTTATGGCTGATAAAGTGACTGCTCGCAAGTTTACCTGTTAAATATTGTTGAGTTATGATGATCTGGGAATTTTCAGCAGATGTATCCATTTTTTCTTGTTTAATTCTCGTGAGAGCAATGAAGAAATCAAACTCGAAATTTTTCTTCCAAAATACTGGAAGATTTACTAGTATTGGTTGATGATCGAAAGAAGGTAAGTTGAAGACCCCACCAACTATGAAATGCTTGTAAGAGATCTTTCCATGTATAAAAATTTTCATTTACACCCCTCCACTGCAAGAGCTGATTGCATTTTAGATCTTTTTTTCAAAAGTACTCTATTTTTCATCCAATAATAAATGATAACACGTCCAAAAAAAAGGAAAAAATTAACTCTCTTTCTCGACACAGATACACACATGAATATCAATACCATATTTTACGCTTTCTCAATATTTTTTTTTATAAAAGAAAATTACATTGGTAATGAAAAAGTACACTTTTCTGTATTAATGACAACATAAAACGTAATGGAGGTTGTGGTTGTTAAAGAACAATGCATTCTTCTCTTTTTCCCCCTAATGATGCATGCTACATATAGAAAGAGATTCTTATTGGTGATCCCAACCCGTATGAGACAAAAACATAAGCAAAATCACATCTTAGGATTATTGTCGTAAAATTAGCAATCCAGATGGAAGGTTGAATACTGATTATCTGGTGGAGAGGTATAAATTAAAATTTTAAAATGTTTGGCGGTTTATCTATAGATGCCTCATAGTCACAAAGATTTACTTATGCTTTTACCTACAAAAGAATTATATGTGCAGTTGCCTAAAAAGTTGACTTGTATAAAATGTGCACCTTGGACTTACAAAGTGGTCTTGTGAGCATAAGGTGTGGGATCCAGTTTACAAAGGAACGGCTTTGGGAGTATAAGAAGTCTAATTCAATTCATCCAAGTCTGGACATGTGAGTGTAAGATCTATTACTTAGCCTACACAAGAAAGGCTACGGGGAAGATGATGTGTATAATTTGGTCCAAATGAAACTGGTTAAAAGACTTGAAGATGTATGGTTAAATGCAGCAAAGAATGGCCAAAGATGGTCAAGGGTGTAAGATGCATGTTCTATTCTACATGAAAGTGGCCACAAGAGTGTACAATTTATTACCTAGTTCATGCAACAATGACCATATGATTGTAGATGTATAACCTAGTTCTTCCACTACTTTTTTGGTAAAATAGTTTACCCATTAGTTGGTTATGGGAGTTTATCGTCTATGATCTAGGCTTCAGTAAATAGTTTGTGAAGTCTATGAAACTAAGATGTATGGCCTAATCATTGGAGAGTGGGGATAATCCATGTTAGAATGCTTATTAAAGTATCAAGATATTTGTAACCATAAGAGAGGCCATGAGAGTGTAAAATGTCTTTGCCTAGAAGTCCTAGCCTACACAAAATTGTCCACAGGAGTGTGATGTGTATGACATGGTACTTATGAGGATGCACAATGAGTATGTCCAAGTCAACACAAATGTGGTCACAGAGCATAAGAGTATGGCCAATCTACATAGGAATAGTTTGGCAGTGTGAGTTATGTGGCTTAGCTCATAGAATAGTGGTCATAGTTCCCAGTTTAAATGTAATGCAGGCTATTCCACTCAAAATTGTCCATGATAGTTTATTTTGTCTATGATTTCTCTTTCGTTTCCCATAGAGTAATCAAATTGTCTCTAATGCGAGCATTATATTAGCCACAAAAACCTGGCTATCTTACTGAAGTAACTGCCAATTTAGAGTTTAGACAGATATTATTGGTGATAAAAAATTCTTTTCATGGTTGCTTATTGTTCATGTACACAAGCAGATGTTTCTTTAATTTTCTTTTATTTACTGTGTGCAATTCATTTTAAACTGGACAGTACTATGCATTTTGTTCTTGCACATATCCAGTTATTCTAGATTTTTATCCCAAACTCGATGCCAAAAGTGGTGTGCTGCTTCTATTAAATATGGATGTTAGCAAAGTAGGTTGACATAATTATTATTAAAATTTGGTACAGGGTGTGCTGGAAGCTGTTCGGATAAGTCTTGCAGGTTATCCCACTCGAAGAACCTACACAGAGTTTGTGGATCGGTTTGGACTATTAGCTCCTGAATTTGATGGAAGGTTGTGTTCTTAATACCATTGCTTTTTCTTGGAAATCTTTACCAGTGATTCTGAAGGATGTAGCTTTTTGTAACTATGGATGTCTGGTGGAGTTATTTGTTATTATGTTTTATTTTTTATTTTTTTCATGTTTCCTTCACAAAAAGGGCAATGGATAATGACTAGAGATATAAATTTCTAGGATGATCAGTTGTACGTGCATGCATGAATGCATGTTTGTATCTCACAAGTGATCTTGAGAAAGTGTGATTTGTTTTTGTGCTGTTTTCTCTATCATCCTTTCTTAACTGTTTGTTTGCTGTGAAGGTTTTTCCCCCTTTTGCATTTCTAATATACTGAGAAATTCTACTACTACTTGGTTGCAGTTATGATGAAAAAGGTTGGACGGAGAAAATTCTGCACAAGTTAAAGCTTGAGAATTTTCAGGTATTGCTGTTTAAAGATTGAGTATCAAGCTTTTGTAATATCATTATCAATTTGCTTATTTTGTTATTTTTTCCAATTCTGTTTTCAAAATTTATTTTTATTTGCAGCTAGGTAGGGCCAAAGTGTTTCTCAGGGCAGGTCAGATTGGCATTTTAGACTTGCGACGGGCTGAGGTTCTGGATGGTGCTGCAAAGCGTATTCAGCGTAAATTGCGCACCTTTATTGCACGCCGAGATTTTGTTGCAACACGTGCTGCTGCATTTGCAATTCAATCATATTGCAGAGGTTTGCTTTTACTTGCTGCATTTGACCTAGTCTTATTTATAATGTGATTCTTTCTCCTTGAAATTAACTTCCCCTTCCTTACCTTTCCCAACATAGCTCTTCGTGTTTATTTGTGCGAATTTGAAAATGGTTTGTTGTATTATTTAGTTTAGGCTTAAAAGGCGGGTTTCAGTTTTGTAAATGTTTACAGGGTCTTGTCTATTTGAAGTTATAGGAGGGTTGTGCCTTGGATAATGCCCATAGTTACAACTAGTGCCACTACCATGCTATGTCTGGTCATTCCAGCAGCCTTGCTATTTTGATTAACTAATTTTCTATGCCAGTTGCCTACTGCATCTATATATATCTAGCTCCAAAACTCCTTTTTGCAGTTCTACTAACTTTGCAATGACTGGCATTGCCCTTATATGTTAGTGTTAGCCTATCCCACATTGGTTGTGGAAGGGGCTGGGTGCTTGGTTATAAATGTGAGGGAAAGCTTCACTTCTTGAGCTAGCATTTGGGATTGAGATAGCCCAATAGTGTCTAACATTGGTAGCAGAGCCCAGGTTATGCGACTCTCTATGTGCCGACCCCACACAAGTTGATGAGAAATAGCCAACTTATGGCCCGATGTGTGAAGGGAGAGAGAGAGAGGGGGGGGGGTGTTAGGTTATCCCACATTGGTTGTGGAAGGGGCTGGGTGCTTGGTTATAAGTGTGAGCTAGCTTTTGGGGTTGAGAAGGCCCAATAGCACCCAACAATTAGTCACTTGAAAATTTGGTTCATTCTGAACATTCCTTGTACTTTATATGTTGTTAATAGTTTATCTTTAACTAAACCACATTTTATTAGATGAGCATGTCCCTGCTTCTTTATTTCTATTTTATTTTGGTTGAGCCTTGTTATAATGAGATATATTTGTAGGATGCCTTGCTCGGAAAATGTATGCTGCAAAACTAGAGAGAGCAGCTGTCATTTCCATACAGAAATATGTCCGCAAGTGGCTATTAAGGCGTGCTTATTTGAAACTGCTCTCAGCTGCTATTTTCATGCAGTCAAATATGCGTGGTTTCTTGACTCGCAAAAGATTTTTGCAACAAAAGAAGCAGAGAGCTGCCTCCCTAATTCAGGTAAATTTGCCAAGTGTTGAATTGTGTTTATCATTTTCCAATATTTTGAGGGTGATGTTTTGTATATTTGTGTACTTAAATAATTAGGTCACCACATTGAGATTAAAGAGGCTAGATCATTAGTCATCTCAGTGGGAATTAAAGTGAACTTATTTTAGTTGTAAAACTTTGTAAGGATGGTTACATAATGTATAAAATGCATAAATTCACCTCACCACTTTTTTTGAGTGATGGGTCATATTGGATGTTCCTATGCCCAGTTTTGTTGCCAATTATCTTAGATGTTAAATAGCATTAGTTTGTGACTGCTACTTAACTTTTAAGTCTCTTCTGTCTTCTTCTTCTTCTTCCTTTTTTTTCTTTTTTTGGGTAAATGTGTGATTACTATCTATGGTTACAGCTAAAATGTTACGGAAAAGTTGGGGTTTTGACTCTTGGAGTGTTACTGGGCTTTTTGTGATTTGGCTTGGGACCTTGAATTAGTTATCTGAGTCATGACTAATGCCTTTGGGAGTTGTTTTTCATATGACTACACTCATTTGACTCCTGTTTATTGTATAATATAAATCACTTAGGCTCGTTGGAAGATGTACAAGTTCCGCTCAGCTTTACGACATCGCCAGGCTTCTATTATAGCAATACAGTGTCGTTGGAGGCAAAAGCTGGCAAAAAGAGAGCTCCGAAGGCTTAAACAAGTGGGAAATTGTTATTCTTTGCATTTCTATTTGAATTCAGCTTTTCCTCTTTTATGTAGAGTCTCTTTTTTTATTACCATGCAGGAGGCTAATGAAGCGGGTGCCTTGCGATTAGCTAAGACTAAACTTGAGAAGCAGTTAGAAGATCTCACGTGGCGGTTGCATCTAGAAAAAAGACTGCGTGTATTGCTTTTTGCTTTGATGTTCTTTTGGTGTTTTTATTAAACTCTTTTGAATGCATTTGAAAAGTTTATGACTCATTAAACATAAACGTAAACATAAAGTTTACACCTCTTTCATTCTTCAAAAGAAAAAATACAGTTTATTCCTCATTTACTTGGCTTATTGATTAACCAATATGAAAGTTTTCTATAAAGAAAGGTTGAGTTAGTTACTGTTTCAAGCTTTCACTTGTTGTTTCTAAGTAAGGCACAATTTATAGTGCAGCAGATTTGATTGGCTAGTTATTATTATTGTCTCACCTAAATCTTGCAATGCTCTTTTACTGAACTTCTTATAACTGTGTGTTTGTGTTGAATATCCTGCATATGGAGCACAGGTATCAAATGACGAGGCTAAATCAATTGAAATTTCCAAACTTCAAAATACTGTGTCATCAATCAGCCTCGAGTTAGATGCAGCTAAGTTGGCTACAATCAATGAATGCAACAAAAATGCAGTATTGCTAAAACAATTAGATTTCACGGTGAAGGAAAAATCAGCTTTGGAAAAAGATCTCGTTGCGTTGACTGAATTGAGAAAAGAAAATGCTTTACTAAAGGTGATTTGCATATATGCAAATCTATCAATTTTTTTAGTTGTGGGTTTGATTGGCCTTGCTTGTTGGGTTCCCATTCCCCCTTTTTTTTTGTGCAGCGTATTTTATTTTGGCTCCACATATTATAAGAATAAGCTTTTATTTAAAAACATTCAGTTGTCTTAAAATTAGGGTATCCTCATTTTCTTAAAATAGTTTAGAAAGCTTTCTGGGACTGATTGAAAGTCTACAAGTCTTCAACATCATGGGCTAGAAATTTTGGATGAAAATACCATCAATATCTTGTGTAAATGAGTTACAATAGCTAATTTTTGTCAATGATGCAACTTGCCTGGCAGAAGAATAAATCGGTATTGGTGATATCTGCATCATAGTAGAGTCCATTAGTAAATAACCAAGCTCATTTCTATTAATTTGCAGGGAATAGGTGTTCTGAGAACTTTGTACTGGGTGCAATCTTACTGAGTTTTTGATGTGAAGGTGTAATCTGTTTGAATAGGTTTTACATTTGCTTTGCTTCTTGCCTAACCTAAACTGAATGCATGTGGTTAAAGTTTAGTGGCTAGTATGATTTTAGGATTCATGAAGGCAACTTCATGCATATTGAGTTTGATTTATGGCTATGATTATGATGTTTTTTAGGATTCATGATGGAAACTTTATGCATCTTAATACAATTTTAATGGTCATGATATTTCTAGGAGTGTTCGATATGATGAATAGTTTCCATGTTTCACTTTGAATAAATGTTGATTGGTAGAGCACCATCTTGTTTTCTTCATTTTTTCATCTTTTGGTTTCCCATGGTCCCATTTGCTTTACTGTGGAGTGCTTTCTAATGAAAACTTTTTGTTTGCTTTTACAGAGTTCTTTGGATGCCTTGGAAAAGAAAAACTCTGCTCTAGAGCTTGAGCTTATCGAGGCTCAAAAGAATGGTAACGACACCATTGTGAAGTTGCGGGAAACTGAAGAGAAATGTTCTCAGTTTCAACAAACTATTCAAAGGTCAGTTGAAAATGCAATACGAGCCATCCTTTTGATTTTGTAAACAACATCATCTACTTGATCAATCTCATTGTTTATTCTTCTGAATTTATTGGAGTTTGCTGCTGATGTTGAAGGCGCAAATTTGAGAATGTTGACTGGTATTTGCATCAAAGGCTTGATTTTCAGAACATTTTGAATTGAGACTGTTTATAAATTCTTGCATATTTATGTTTTGAGGAAACACATGGTGGTTTCATAAATTGGTTGTTTTGCTTCTGTGAGGTTTCTAACTGCATAAATGGAATCCATCTGAACCTTAGCATGGATTATTGTTGCAGAAGGTTTTATTTTCATTTATTTATTTATTTTTTATTTTTTTTACTTTCTCTGGGAGGGGGGCGGGGTTTATAAAGCTGTTCTTGTAGTGGACTCATATTCTAGTATCTTTGTGCATGATGTTTCCCATATTACAGCCTTGAGGGGAAGCTTTCTCATTTGGAGGATGAGAATCATGTCCTTCGACAAAAAACATTGACTCCATCTGCAAAGAGCAATCGCTCTGGTTTGGCGAGAGCATTTTCTGAAGTAAGTTGTTGCAAACATAGTTCCATCCTTATCTGCTAAGAAAAAAAGAAAAATATCATTCTTTCATATATAGCTAAACGTGGGATGCATGCTTGATCTGTTGCTTGGTTTCTTATTAAAGACTTTAGTTATTTTCTGCTGTAATGCTATTTGTTTGTTAACAAAGCAGAAAATTTCATGGATATTTAAGTGTTCACTGATTCTATTGTCTTGTTAATGAAACAGAAATACTCTGGTGTGCTAGCTCTTGCCCACTCTGAGCGGAAGTCTGCATTTGTAAGATACAGTTTTTGAAATTTTTAGAGTTTAATGTAGTTGCAAACCATATTATGTTTTTCATGTATGTTGTTTTCTCTGCAGGAATCTCCTTCACCATCAAAACTTATTGTACCTTCCTCGCATGGTTTGTCAGAATCACATCGATCGAAGTTTACAGCTGAACGTCACCAGGTTTCTTCCCTTGTTTGGAAAGCCTTCGGTTCTAAGACTTTAAAGTTTACTGAAATCTTGTGATACACAATAATGTTACCTAATTTTATACTAATAGATTTTACACACAGGGTTTAAGAAGTGAATTTTCGTTGACATACAGGAGAACTATGAATTCCTATCAAAATGCATCAAAGAAGAATTGGGTTTTGTTGATGGCAAACCACTAGCAGCTTGTATCATATACAGGTGTCTTCTTCACTGGCATGCCTTTGAATCTGAGCGCACGGCTATTTTTGACTACATTATTGAAGGAATTAATGAAGTTTTGAAGGTCAGTTGCATGTTCAGTCTTTCAAATAACTGTCCTGGGACCTTTTTTTTTTTTTTGGGTAAATGAGATTGTTCTTTTCACTTCAATTGATGTTACCCAAACCGATAGTGGGTTTGGGTAACGAGTCTTAGATCTTCTTCTTTGTTTTTCCCCATTTAACTTTACTCCCTCGTCCCTAGTTCTTTTGTTACTCTCTGACATCTCAACATTTTAAGGAAATATTCACAATTGTCTTGGAACTCAATGGAAAAAACACATGAATTTCAGTTTCCAAACCCAGCTTTCTTCTCCTTTCTTAACTTCCCATTCTAGAGAACAGCAGCTCTATAAAATTTATTTATATTTTAACTGGAAAACTGTGTTGGACAAAATGTTCTGGAGCACTCTAAAATCAAAATTTGCTCAAGGATAATATATATATATATATAGATACAATAGATACAATTATTAAGATATCCCGTTACAATTGTTTCAGGTTGGGGATGAGAACATTACGTTACCATATTGGTTGTCAAATGCCTCAGCACTTCTTTGCCTTCTCCAGAGGAATTTAAGGTCAAATGGCTTTTTGACTGCAGCTGTCCCTTCTTCTACATCTTCTGGATTACCAGGGAGGGTCATTCATGTGAGTTTGTTGTAAAATTGGATTTTTTTTTTCTTGTTTGCAGAATGCATACATATAATACGTTCTTTCAAGGCTTTTTAGGCTTTTTTTGGTTTGCTTGTTCAGATCAAAGGAGAATGTATAAAAAGGATTCTAATCCTGCTAAATATCAGCTAGAGAATTGCCTGAAAACCTCTGCACCAGTACACCACAAGAACACAATGAACATTATCCACATAGCCTACACAACTAGACAACATAGAAACAGATGGCTTTGTGCCCCTCAAAAAAAAAAAAAAAAAAAAAAAATCTGAAACTTTAAATTCCAGTTTAGTAATTACAGGAGAGAGGAATTTTCCCAGTTTAGTTTCTTCTCCTTCATCCTTTTTTTTTTTTTTTCACTTAAGAGAGAGCAATTTATTGGCTGGATATGCAAGAATTCGAGATTTCCATTAGAAATTGGTATTTGTTGTTATTGTAGAAACTCAGCATTCTAGCGTTGCCCATGACACAAATTATCATCAATTTTTCTGCATTTACTAGCTGTAGCATTTTGTTCTTTGTTTGACTTTGCTTATTTTGTTTATATTAAATTTCTTATTTTGATGAATTTGACTGAGGCCAGCTGATTTGAGTTTGCTATACTTCCCAGGGTCTTAAATCTCCTTTCAAATTTAGGGGATATGAGGATGGTCTATCGCATGTGGAAGCAAGATATCCAGCAATACTCTTTAAGCAACAACTAACTGCTTGTGTTGAGAAGATTTTTGGCTTGATTAGAGATAACTTGAAGAAAGAATTATCACCACTGCTGGGTTTATGTATTCAGGTGAGTTTTAGCAAATCCAGCTTGGGCTCACTTTGATCAGTTTTAGTGTCATCTTTCCCTGTTTTGAGTGCAGAGTTGTAATATTGGATGTTGATCTAAATGCATATACAAAAAAGCCATATTCTACTTTGGATTCCTATCAAACTGGTTATTTGAAATCACTTACTCATTCTTGGTTTCAACAGCGTGCACTGAATGTTAGTTCTGAATGATGGGTTTTTTGGATGGGACTTTGACCATGTGGAATCATGATAATTGGGAGCATTAACTATTCTAGTGTGGAGCTATCACCCAAAATAATGCGAAGTCCATGCTTTTTGGAGAACCATTCTCTTGTCAAATTGTTTCCATTAAACAATACTCGTCCCTTCTCTATGGATGGGTGTTCTCAACTGTATATAGGTTTTACGTATATTCTTTAGTTGTCATGAATGACATAAATGTTCTCATCTTTAGAGCTATTCTCCAAACCTTAGTCTTTAATAAAAAATTTACAGTAGCATCCATCATTTTACTTGTTTGGGAACATTGTTTCTGTTCTTCCTTGATTTTTTGCTGTTTTTTGAATCTTTTTCAAAGTAATTGATCAGAGATTTATGTTTTGATGACTGTTTGGTAGGCACCTAAATCTGCACGGCATGCTGGGAAATCATCAAGATCACCTGGTGGCATTCCTCAGCAAGCAGCTAGTAGTCAGTGGGAGCGGATCATTAAATTTTTGGATTCTCTCATGGACCGTTTACGTGAGAATCATGTATGTTGATTTTCCCCTGTTAATTGGTTTTCAAATAGGAAACCATTGTGCATGGAGTATTCACTCATCATGGATTCCTTCAGATTTCAGAGTGCATTTGTCCATGCCAATTGCAAAACACTTCCACAGCATTCATAATTTATATCCTTTTTATTGTACATACATCTGCAGCAAACTTCTTTGGATAGTGTGGCATTGAAATAGATCTTTTAACCTTAAGAAAATCTTCTGTCTGATGTTCACTATCCAGGTTTTTTGTTTCTGCCGCCATTGTTTAATCTACTTTTGTTTCCTTAGATTATCTTGAATACATACAACAGACAATGGAGAGGATTTGTCTCACCTATTAAGCTTCAATTTTGCTTTGTTGCTTATCTCTGTGTTCTAAATTCTCTATCTCTTGATGCTTGCTGGGAAAAAAGCAGGCTGTAACTGTGCAATTTTAGTTACTTTGCAAATTTTCTTTGTCTGACACAAAATTATCCATTTAGGTACCATCTTTCTTCATCCGTAAGCTAATTACCCAGGTTTTCTCTTTCGTCAATATATCCCTTTTTAACAGGTGAGTGATCATGACTTGAGAAATTCTTCTGTACTTCATATGACAAGTTTATGCTTATGTTGCTTAATTCAAATTTCCTTCTTAGCCTTCTACTACGACGTGAATGTTGCTCATTTTCAAATGGGGAGTATGTGAAATCTGGTCTAGCAGAACTGGAGAAATGGATAGGTTGTGCAACAGAGGAGGTAAAACTGTCCTTTACCTGCCAAGTAGTTGCTACAGAGGTTAAAATCAACAGTTTGTGTGTCTGAATCTGTACAAAATGCAGTATGCAGGAACTTCTTGGCACGAGCTAAATTATATTAGACAAGCTGTTGGGTTTCTGGTAATTTTTCTACCCTTTTCTCATTTGACTTGTGGACTGTCAGTTGTTTCTTTTTCTCATGGATTGTGCAATTCTTTTAGGTAATTCATCAGAAGAGAAAAAGTCTCTTGAAGAAATCATGCAAGATTTGTGTCCTGTATGATCTCACTCACTGTTCATTTCAATTTTAATTGTCCATTCATTAAAATGAAGTTATTTTAAAGCTTAATGTGTCATGATCCTTGGACAGGCATTGACTGTTCGCCAAATCTATCGTATAAGTACCATGTACTGGGATGATAAATATGGCACTCAGAGTGTGTCAAATGAGGCAAGTTTCTGTTTTGGTACCTTTTGTTGTTTGGCTAAATTTGTCAAAAATAATGTCCTCATGGTTTTTAAACTTCAATCCGTCTACAGGTGGTTGCCCAAATGAGAGAGATGTTGAACAAGGACAATCAAAATATGACCTCAAACTCTTTCTTGTTGGATGATGACCTCAGGTATGCTGCATTGTCTCTCAAACGGCTTGCTAAAAAAAAAAAAAAAAAAAGGCTGACTGGGCTGAATGTAACAGATAGCCTGCCAGTAAAATCTCTAGGACGTGATAGAGAATTTAGATCAAATCCTGTCTTTACCTGTATCAGGAGGGGTTTCATGGTTTGAGGGAAAGGGGAAAGGGGTGGGTTGTGATCTTTGAATAAATCTATCCTTTGACGCTTATTTCATTTGTTGTCCTTTTGTTTTCATTTAGTTTAAAGATATTGTCCTTTTAACATGAATTTGTTTTTCTGTAACGAGTTATTTTAGGCTTTAGGTGCACAAATTGGTAGAATGTGTGGATTACTTGTGGAGACATGTTAATTTTACCACTGAGTTCATTTCAGCCCCAAAACCTATATTCTGTTGTGTTTACGAAGAATTATTCATGGCATTTGCTTCGTGTTTTGTTAATTTCTATGCTTATTTACCATTTTCTTGTTGCAGTATTCCATTCTCTACCGAGGATATAGATATGGCAATTCCTGTAATAGATCCTTCCAACATTGAACTCCCAAAGTTGTTGACAGAGTATCCTTGTGTGCAGTTTCTTGTCCTGTGTCAAACGTAAATGATTAGCTGTGGCTCCAAAAGAACCACAAAATTAACCTTGGAAGTCTAGCTCGTTTTGAAGGATGACACCTGTAAGTTTGAAGACCATTTTATTTGCAGGAACTTGGTTTCTACTGGCAGATGAAACTTTAGCAGTGGCCATCAAACTATCAGTATATTGGCTTTATATGCTACCCGTTTGATGGATAGCTACTTCTGTTTGGATATTGGGGATCCAATTGGCGTTGCCCATGCATTATTTACAGATTTAGTCAGCTTTACATGGTCTGAGTCATAGATTAAGGATGCTTCTATTTTTTGTGAAGCTCATTCTTTCTTTGTACATGCTTTCTTTCATTTTGGAATTGCATCCTGTTGTATGATGGTTTTTTTTTTTTTCCTTCGTAATCTGTATATATAGAACCACTCCAACTGATTCTAATTGTTTCCTTTAACTTAATGAACAAGAAGTTCATTCAGGTTCCTACTTCAGAGCTTAGCTACTTGATTAACTTATTTTTTTCTTAACAGCAGCACTCTTCCATTAAAGTAAACAAACACCAAGTAAGTATTTTTAAGATCTGGTGCTATTTGAGAAGTTGGAAATTCAAGCATTCTTGCTGCTTTGGGCATGGAGCCTATGGAGGGGTGTTTGGGTTAGGTTTTGGGATGTATTCTACTTTCACCCTCGCCACGCTGTGTACATCTTCCACAATTCTTACATATAAAGGTGGCAACTGTTTTGGCTTAGTGTTGGTTCCTGTTTCACCGCTTTTATTTATTTATTTATTCTTGTATGTGAAACTGATACATGACAATCTCCGCGAAACGAATTCAACAAATTGGGGGGTTTTTTCGATCAGGGTTTCAATAAATTTAAAAAGTGATTGGGTTTTATTGGTTGCAGTGGGTTTAGTGGGTCAGTGTCTTATAATTTTGGTATATAGTGTGAAAGAATGGTACAATGGTGGCAGAATGAATGAAGAATGAATTGAGTTACGATTTCTGCTTCTTCCTAATTCTCTATTTGGTTTAATGGCATAAAACATCCCTCTATTATTGATATTAATGTGTTTCCTTTATTTATTTTTTTTAATTATTCATCACCTCTTATACTTTTTAATTTTTCCTAATGTAGCTCATTTTACTAAAATCTGGTGATTATTCCGGTTGATAATGACAAATGGTAAAAAATTGTCACGTGGTTCAAAATTATTACATCCAAAATCTAAAAAGGAAAAAAATAAAAATCAAAGTATAGAAACCTTTTGATTTTTCTCTCTCGTTGTGTAGTCGATCCATCGATCAAAGGTTGCTCTAGATGAAAAAACCCATTCCTCACACATGCTCTCGTAAAAACCTTAATCCTTACATAATTGCCTTTGATTTTCTCTTCACTATCAATTGCTTTTGAATCGAATCCAAAGATCTTTGATTATTCAATAGCTTGAATCCCTAATTTATCCCAATTTATGAAAATACTTAATTCGAAATCTTTTCTTTTTTGTTTTTTTTTTCATTTTTCCTTCATCATTCTCATCAATTTTCTCTTCATCTTCTTCGAATACATCTGTTTAAATTTTCTATACTAAAAAACTCACAATTTGTGAGAACTCAAAAATGCCAAAAATTGTTTTATTTATTTCTTGAAATCTTTATGACTCCCAAATTGATTTTTTTCATTTTTTTTTTTTGTTAAAACCCTAAATTACATCTCGTTAGAAATTGAGGATAATGCAATCGTCTACTCTCACCAACAAAATTAAGGATAACGGATTATGATAGATCTATGTAGCTTCACCACAAACTCCCGAATTGAACTACGAAGAGCACCGCAATGATATGTCATTGTGGGTTGAAGACTACAAGGTGGATGTCATGGAGTGACAAGCATCCAAGTTCGAAGTTTCATCCATGTCTTATATGTTTTGCCTATAATGGTAATAAAAATTTTGATTGTGGTTACCGGGTGTAGAAGGATGATTTCATAAAAGTCGGAGATTGGATAATTGTTTTGAGAATGAGAAATAGATAAAGACAGATTTATACAAAGAAAAATTTATTACCGAAAGAAAATAATGAATTGGTTACGAAGGTTCGAACGTTGAAGAATAAGTTAAATTCTCTTTCCATGGAAAAGGAAGTGTTGCTGGTTGAGATAGCAACACAAGAGGTAGAGAAAGAACACATAAATTTGAGAATAAAAAAATTAAGTGAATACAATGTTAAGTTATTGAATTTCTATAAAATAATAGTGGTTTTAATTTTAATTCTATTGGTTGTTTATAAATTACACTCGAAGTAGGTTGTTTATAAAATGTATTGAAGTAAGTTGTTTATAAAGTCTATTGAAATAGGTTATTTGTAAATTGCACTAAAATGGTTTTAATTTTAATTCTATTGATTTTAAATATATTAATTGAATATTTATTTATTTCATGATGGCATTGTTTGTCATGTAATGCATCTTATCTAGTCGGAATCATTGTAAGCCATTCTTATTAAGAACGGCCATCAAGATGATGATAATGGTGGTATTATGGCATGTATAGAAAAAGAAAGAATTGGAAATACTAGACAATCAAATGCAAAGATATTCCCATTTACTTAAGAATATGTTTTGCAGTCTTTTTTGTCATCCAAACACTTGTTTTTATTGGACTCAAGTTGACTTGTATATCTTAATATTATTTTGGTCATAATATTTTTTTATCTGTCACCTTTTATATGTTTTATGTGTTAATAGATGTGTAATTACGTTATATTTTTAACTCATGTATTGTATTATGAGTGTGTAACATTTAAGATGAATTAACAATAAATTTACTCTAAAAATCGGCTATCGACACGTGCATGCGTGCCTAGAGATAGAAAGGAGTGAGGAGGTTTTTTCATGTTAATTTATGGTAGCTTGTTGTTGTCTTATGATAATGTGGGATTCGTAATTCCAACATAGCAAAGGATCTATATTAAAGTTGCATGCAAATGGCGGATAACTTGAAATACAAGAAGGATGAATTTACTTCATTAAAATTTTTTGCCATGGTGTTCTTACGAGTGGAAACAAAAAGGAACCGAAGGTGATAAAGTAAATAAAATACAAATGATGATGTATAATGATAGTATATTTTTAACGAATATATTGTATTATAAGTGTGTAATGTTTAAGATGAATTAACAATAAATTTACTCCAAAAATCGGCTATTAACACGTGCATGCATGCCTAGAGATAGAAAGGAGTGAGGAGGTTTCTTCATGTTAATTTATGGTAGCTTGTTGTTGTCTTACGATAATGTGGGATTCTGTAATTCCAGCATAGTAAAGGATCCATATTGAAGTTGCATGCAAATGACGGATAACTCGAAATACAAGAAGGATGAATTTACTTCATTGAAAATTTTTATCATGGTGTTCTTGCAAGTGGAAACAAAGAGGCACCGAAGGTGATAAAGTAAATAAAATACAAATGCTGATGTATAATGATAGTAGAGGAACTGGTAGCAAAGATATCCGCATCACAAGTCGTTGTGTTTGTGAGTTAATAGTAAAGGGAAACTGGTTTGTAAATCTTTATGTTTTTATGGTTTGAGGGTTAGTAGCCACTGTTGAGGATGTGTTTGGTTTTTTATAGTTTATGTAATTATGTATGTGTTTCTCACTCTACTTTCTTGTTTATAAACCGGGGTTAGTAATAAAACAACCTTATTGCTTGCATGGATAAATTTTTATTTCTAACTTAATTTTCTTTCCTTTCCTTTTCTTTCTTTTCCTACCTTTTCTATCGCTCATGTTCTTTATAATAATAGCACAATCAGAGATTTTTATTCAAAATTTTATCAAAGTAAGTGTGTTAAAGTTAAGTGAACATTTAAAAACGTTTTAAAGTGTCTAAAAAACAAAATCTCTATCTATATGATAGCTTCGTGCTCTCGTCTATATGACGAGTCTCTTTATTCTTATGTCTTTTTTTATCTAAAAAGTTAAATCTTATCCTTTTCCGTTCTAGTTTTTTTGTCTTCTTGCATTTAAGTTAATTTATAACATGGCTGAAAGTGGATTGGAGGATCAATATGGTAGGATCTCATTAGGGAATGAGGAAGATGAAGGTTTGGAATACAACGATAATGTACTAGAGGAAATAACGAATCGGAGTCTAACAATGATTGGTTGTTTTCTCACCGAAGGTAATGTTAATTATGATTATATGTAGGATACTTTATCCAAACTCGGCGTCCGGGTAGAGGAATTTGCATTGAAAGGATTAAGCCAAACTTGTTCTCATTCCAATTCTTTCATGAGATTGATCCGAAGAGGGTGGTTAAAGTTGGTCCGTGGACGTTCAATTGTCATCTCTTATTATGGGAAAGGGCCATGGTGGGTGTTGCACCATAGATGATGGATATGTTCTTTGCTTCTTTACGGGTTCAACTCCATAAAGTTCCAGTGGGATTTGTGTCCGAAAGAGTTTGCAAGGATTTAGGAATTACATTGGAATATATGAAGAATTGGATCCATGAAATTTCATGGGAAGTTAGAGAAGTTCTTTACATGTTAAGGTTCATATTGATGTTTGAAATCCTTTTAAGAAGTTCAAGAACATTAAAAGAAAGGAGGGGATTGGTAATGTGCAACTTTCAAATATGAAAAACTTTCGAGCTTTTGCTTTCGATGCGATCGGATTGGGCACAACGAGAAATTTTACAATGGAGTTTATGATGATCCGGATAAGGAGTTAGAGTATGGAGCTTGGTTAAGGGCTCCGGGAAGAAGCTCTATTATGATTAGTAAAAAATGGCTCCGGAATAGTAAAGGGGAGCTCCTAAACAATGGAGGGTCATCGGAAAAAAAAGGAATACGAGTGGACGACATTGGAATGACAAATGGTGAAAATCAAAAGATTAGGCATGGTAAATCAGGAGTTGATGGAGGTGATGGGGGTAGGAATAAGAGAGATTCGAATAAGAGTGGTGGGAAAGTGGGACCTGGAAAGTAAAATGGAGGGAATTAAGGACAATAAGTCCGAAGAGGAAAATCCAGATTCAATTAATGATGGGTTGGTAGTAACCGAGCCCAAAAGAAAAATACTTGAGGAAAGTGGGCCGAATGTGGTTGGAGATGTGAAGGGAATGACTAGTGGTAATGTTCTAGAGCGGGTCGAGGTAAAAAACGAGCCCAATGTAGGACTCGGCCACTAAGCCCGCCCATCTCAATGAGTTGTCTAGCTTGGAACCGTTATGGCTTGACAACCTATAAACGAGTTCAAAATCTCATGGACTTGGTCCATGAACATAGGCCAAAATTGGTTTTCCTTAGTGAAACCATTAACCGGTGTAGGAAACTGGATTCGATTAAAACTAAAATGGGTTTTGACAAATGTTTTGGTGTTGACTATATGGGAAGAAGTGGAGGACTTGCTCTTTTCTGGAAAGAACGTGATGCTCGTTAAATTGCTTAGTTACACAAACCATCATATTGACGTGGAGTACACTAATGGGGATGGAAAAAAATGGTAGTTTATAGGTTTATATGGATGGCTCGACGTAAATCAAAGATAAAACACTTAGGATCTTTTAGGTTCTTTGGCTAGGTAATCTTCTCTTTCATGGGTTTGTGGAGGAGACCTTAATGCTTTGTTGTTCCAATCAAAGACGAAATGGGGATCAATGTCTCTAGAAAGGCTTTTAGAAGGGTTCAAAAATGCTCTCGAAAATAATGGGTTGGTTGATCCGGGCTTGTAAGGGTATCCTTATACGTGGGAAAAGGGAAGGGTTTTTGGCGATTGGTGGAGGAACGACTAGATCGTTTCTTGGCAATATAATCGTGGCAAGCTATCTTTGGGTCGACTAATGTAACAAACTTACTCTCTACTTGTTCTAACCATTATGCTTTGTTATTTGATCCTGGTTGTTATATGGGTTGGAGAAGGATTAATCGTTTTCGTTTTCAAAATGATTGGGTGAGGGAGGAGAGACGTGAGGATATCATAAAAAAGGCTTGGGGTAGAGTGGGGTCCGAGAGAGTTGAGGATAAACTTAAAAGATGTGAGGAAGAGTTACAAAATTAGGGGAAGAATGTGTTTGGTGATTGGAGAGGAAAGATTCGGTTTTGGAAATTACGGATGAAGAGTACTAAGGGGAGAGGGAGTGGGGGTCGGTCCGGGTAGTTTATGAAAGCGAGGGAGGGCTATTTAGAAACTTTGAAGTATAGGGAGTTATACTAGTAGCAAAGAGTAAATGAGATGTGGCTTCATCATAGAGATAAAAACTCTAGGTATTTTCATGCTCGTGCTTCGACTAGAAAGAAAAAGAATGAGATCATTGGGTTGGGGGATGTGGATGGGGAATATAAAGAAAGGTTGGAGGAGGTGATAACTTATTATTTTTCCAGATTGTTTAGTGCGGGGGAATGTGTGTATGAACTAGTGGGTTAGGAAGAAGTTGATCTGTAGAACAAAAGCAAGATCTATCTAGACCTTTTTACAAACAAGATATACGTGATGCAATTTTTCTAATGCACCCCGAAAAATCTCCCGGCATGGATGGATGGTTTTAACCCTTGTTTCTACCAAAAATTTTGGAGTGTTATAGGTGAGGATGTTGTTGCGTATTGTCTCTAAATTATTCAAGAGGGGAAATTCTCGAAGGGCTCAATGATACATCAATCATTTGATTTCTAAGAAAGGAAAACCATAAGAGATGAGTGATCTTAAATCAATCTCTTTATGTAAGGTATTGTACAAAATTGTTTCTAAGATGTCGAGCATGAGGCTTAAAGGTGTGTTAGATAACTTACTCTTAGTTAACTAGAGTACCTTCATTTAAGGTTGTCTCATCACGGATAATGTGATGGTAGCTTATGAAGTCCATCACTATCTAAAGAGAAAGAGAATAGGCAATGATGGTTGTGTTACTTTAAAAACGGACATGAGTAAAGCATACGATCGCATCGAATGGGGGTACACGAAATGTATGCTTAAGAAGATGGAGTTTCCGGAGGCTTGGGTTAACATTCTTATGAGTCGTGTGTCTTTTGTGAAATATCGGGTGACGGGTTAGAATGCTTTTGTGGGTCAAATTGTTCCATGAAGAGGTCTCTATTAAGGAGATCCTCTCTCGCCTTATTTATTCATAATTTGTGCTTGAGGGGCTCTCGACATTACTTCAAGAAAAAGAGACGTAAATGTATCTATGGTATTAGAGTAGCTAAGAGGGCACCTAAACTTTCACATCTACTAGTCACAAATGATATCTACTTATTTTACAAAGCTACGGATGGAGAAATGTAGGTGATTAAGAATGTGTTAGGATTATATGAAAAGGCTTCGGGACGATGTGTTAATTTTCAGAAATCCTCCATTAAATTTAGTCGAAATACTGCTCGGGTGTGCAAGACCGGAATAATCAATTTTCTTGGAGTAAAGGAGGTCGTTGATGGAGAAAATTATTTAAGATGCCTACTCGTCATTGGTAAGAAGAAATCTAAAGTTTTTTCCTTTGTAAAAGAGACAAGTGTGGCGTAGGATTAGTAGTTGGAACAAAAAACATATGTTGAAGGTCGGGAAGGAAATTTTGATTAAAGCCATTGGTCAAACAATCCCAAATTACATTACATTTGTGTTTACGTTACCTAAAGAGGAATGTTATGAATTGGAGATCATGCTTAATAAGTTTTGATGGGGTTCAAATGATGGAGGGGGAATTAAATGGCAAAGATGGGAGAGATTGTGTTGGGGAAAGAGTGCTGGTGGCCGTAGATTCAAGAAATCGTATGATTTCAACCTTGCTATGGTTGGAAAGCAAGCTCGAAGGTTAGTCACCAATCCAAACTCTTTGGTTGCATAGATTTATAAAGCTCGTTATTACCCACGCACCGACTTCCTAAATGCTACGAGTTGGGTACGGACCCAATTTTATTTGGAGGAGTGTGATGACGGCATAAAATTTGATTAGACAAGGCTACGGATGGCGTATTTATAGAGGGGTTGATGTCAAGGTTTTTAAAGATCCATGGTTGAATGATGGGCGGAATAGTTAGGTTACAATAGAACCCGATAAGGAGTTGGAAGATATGAATATTTTTGACCTCATTAATCAAGAAACTCGTTAGATGGGATGATGAGTTGATTCGGGAGATTTTTAATGTTAAAGATCGAGCTTTAATTGAGAGCATTCAACTGAGTATGAGAAGAATTAGTGATAAGTCGACATTGAATCATGATAGTAAGGGGAGTATACGGTGAAATTAGCTTATAGAATCCTAATTAGGAACTATGAGGATGGGGTAAATGAGCGAGGAATTGAGTGTGTGGAAACGGTTCCGGAATCTTAAACTTCCGGGGAAGGCTAAGCATACTATGTGGAGAGCTATAAATGTTTGTTTGCCTACAAAGGATAGATTAGTGAGAAAGGATGTGGAGTTGGATCCGTATTACCTAGTTTATGGGTATGAGCTAGAATCCGATACTCGATATTTTTCCGGATCTGTTTTATTGCTAGACAGGTGTTGGAATAAATTAGGGATGGGCTATGTTAAAGGGAATGTGAACAATATGAGAGAATGGATTTTGCTTATTTTTAGGGTTTGGGATATGGACAAGTGTTGTAAAGTGGTGATGCTTTGTTGGGGTTTATGGAAGAATCGAAATAATTATGTTTGGAAGAACAAACATGGTGATTATACATGGATTATGAATATGTGTAAGGGCATGTTGGAGAATGAAGGAGAATTTTGGAGGGGAAAGGTGGTGGGAATGATTCGGGTTGTTGGAGAGTGGTGTGAGAAGGGAGGATCGATGGAAGAAACTAAGAAGAGCGGTTATTTAAAGCTACTACCGATGCTTTTGTGTTTATAGGTACAAATAGAACTGGAATCGGTTATATTATCGGAGATCATGAAGGAGTTGTTCGAGGCTATATGTATTATGTTCTTCCAGTTGAGTTGGAGTCCAAAATTGCAAAAACTATTGCCATCGGAGAGGCTTCGTCCTGGTTACTTGAACTTAACATTTCAAATTTAATTATTGAATTTGATGCTCGATTGGTGATTCATGCTATCAATGGTCCAAATATTGATAATTTTGAGTTTTGGATCCTAGTTGATGATTACAAAGTGTTCAAACCTCATTTCCGAAGGTCAACTTTGTGTTTTTGCATAAGGAGGCTAATTCTACGAGCAAATGAACTTGCTAAGGTCGCTGCTATATCTTTTGATTCCGTTAAGGTTTGGAGAGGTGTTGTTCCGTAGTTTATTTTGGATGTAATTACTACTGATATTTCCTATTGATGAAGGTTGAAATTTCCAGTTCAAAAAAAAGTTAAGTGAACATTTCCTACTTCAAGTGATGAGTGAAAACAAACCATAACACAAACATAAATGAACTCTCATTTTCAAGGTAGTTTACTAGATATGACCTACTCAAGTTATGTGGTCTCATCAACAAGTTTAATGTACATTATATTATAAGTTTCTTATACTATATTGGTATAAATATGATCGCGGATGTAGTTATGGCCATAATGGTAAGGTTTTTGTCTAGCTAAAGTCCATATAGCTTTAACTACCTTTTATCTTTTTTAATTTTCAAGTGATATTTTCACATGATAAGAAATCATTTTTCTATTTTTGTCATTTTTTCTTGCTTTTTTATCAATACCTTTTTAATACAAATTTAAATTAGTATCTTGATAAAGCATGTTATGGATTTTTTCAAAAAAATGAATGAAGCTCATTCAAACTCGTTTTTTTTTCATTGCTTGGAATGTGCTTGTTATTCATAGATATATTTTAATTGAAAACTCAAATATTTAGCTATTAAATATGTGCAAGGTAATCTCTAACCGCCGATAAGGTCACTAGAAATAGGAAGCGACCTTATTCATCGTAGAGCCACCAACAAACACAAGACTCCATCCAATCTAAATGGTTGATAGAGTAAAAGAGCATAGAAAACTTAGTTAACCATTGAGAGATCGTGACATTTAACCGAACAAAGGA